TGGGGATAATAATATTTCCTCTCTCTGCCACCTTTTGTCTATCTTGTCTATTTATACTATAAGCCCTTCATGGCAGGGACTGTCTCTTACTTAGTGTCCGGACGGTATCTAGCATAACCAGAAACTTGATCTTGGGTGGGGTCTCTAGACTGGGGCTATGTAATGTAAAATAATATCCTCCCCCACCCCATTTCTTGGCCTTCCAATGCCAATAAGCCTGATGGCAGCTTACAAGGAGGAAACTGAAGGTATCTGCAACTTCCTCCTTGAATTGTCAGTGACCATGCCAAACCGGTAAGAATATAGCATCATGCTAGCACCATTCTTTGTTCCTGACACACAGGCTTCTGTTGCTGTTCTCAGAGATCTAACACAATGTAAAATACAAAAGCAAATGTCCCAGATCAGTGGTTTTCAACCTGTGGTCCGCAGCCCCCTGGGGGTCTGCAGACTATGTCTAAGATTTCCAAAGGGGTCCACACCTCCATTCGAAATTTTGTAGGGGGCCACAAATGAAAAAAGGTTGAGAACCACTGCCCTAGTTCAATATGGCTTATCCAGTCAGTGGCTCTAGCATTGTTCTGCCACTCTTGGGAGCATGGCAGTGGTGCAGGCTCCCCGTGCAGCGCTCCAAATGTTCTGCGCTAAACACATGAAGAAGAGGAAGCAGCCTCAGAATGATCAACCACAAGATAAAACTGAAAGGATATGAGATCTGCCGGCTCATAGCTTCCGAGCACCCAAAAACAGCAGCTTGCATGCAAAACACAGATTTAAGAGAAAAAAAAATGCAGGCCAACACCATGCCGTAAAAATTAATCAATATAATAGAGAGGGAAAATGTTCTCCTTACAAAGAATTTCTGGGTAATGCAGGCACACACACGATCTCTCTCAACCTATGTTAGAAGGATTTTTAAAAGAGGGATTATTTCAGAGAGAGGATAGTCGAAATGGTGGAATCAGACATTAACGGTGGAATCAAATAGGATGAATGGGACAAATTCATCCCTCATGTAACTCTGCTGAAGACAATGGAGTTCCTACAAGTGGGGTAAGTTTGGCACATCGGATATAAGCACCATGTGGACAGCAATAAAGAGAACTATACAGGATCAGACTTCGAAAAGGCAGTACAGGGAGGTGCTAGCAAAAACCTTCCAAGGAAACCCAATGACATGTTTTATGATCTGTCAAAGATAGGTGGTCATGGGTCTGTAGTTTCAAGTTATCTGACTGCTGGACAACTGCAGCCCCATCGACACCGTGCAGGCAGCATCAGCTTCCTATTTTGAGTCTTAAAAGGAAAAGAACTTGCTGAACATTAATTTTCATTAGTTAATAGACCATTCCCAGCCAGTTGCTAAAAGGCTCCTGTACATTTTCAGCAACACAGTCTCTACTAGTTATAATCATAACCACCACCACCACTCGCCTGCTTTATTTCTTTCACTTCTGTACAATTTAAACTAAAAAGGAGTGAATACAAAAGTTGAAATGTACTGAGGGGAAGAAATAAAAATCAGTGCCAAGCAAATTTTATTACCTAAAAGCTTTGGATTTTACTAGCCTGCTCTGGTTTCAGATGTCATAAACCATACAGGTGTAACGCTGTCATATTGCTCTCAGGGCCGGCTCCAGGCACCAGCTTAACAAGCAGGTGCTTGGGGCGGCCAAGAGAGAGGGGCGGCACCTGCAGCAATTCGGGGGCGGCAGGTCCCTCACTCCCTCTCAATCATGGCTTTTTTTTTTTTTGCTTGGGGTGGCAGAAATGCTGGAGCCAGCCCTGATTGCTCTGCACCCATATGAACCTTATTATGTTAGACTGAACTGAAATCCAGTGAATATTTCCAAGTTTAGAATAAATCCTCATAAAGAAACTGTCCATATTTTCCCCATATACATGCACATCTGTTCGGAAGCACATCTGTTTGAGAGAGTATAACATTAATCTTTTGAATTTGCAGTTCGGTATCCTTAAATCTGACTGTAAAATTATGATAAAACTCGAAATATCTGTTCCTGTCTCCACCAGGAAATGTAAATCCCTCTTTGACTGCTATCGATTAAAGGAAAGAAGTGAAGCGCTGTTATTTCCCCCCACCTCTATCCCTTCATGTCATAAGAATCCCCTTCACTGTGATAAACATCCCACTGGTGGGCATTATCTTGGGAAGGTAAATGATACCGACTTGTAAGCAACATAAGGAATGAGTAAGTGCTGATTGGTCATTTATGTCATAGAGCCATATGATTTAATACATACTGTCCTGGGTCATGAATTTGTCAGCTCCATAAACTAAGCGATTGCAAATGTTTAAATCAACAGGCTGAGGTACACCAAATACAGGATTGCTGTTTATTGCCCTAAACCCCTTGCTCACACTCCTTACACATAAGCACAGTCCAGAAGAAATAAATAAGGACCACTCACGTAAGGGCCAAGGTCTCGATCCTGCAAGATGCTGAGCACTCTGGCCTGATCCAGGAAAACACTTACGCGTGTGCTTAAATTCAAGCATATGCTTAGACCCACTAAAGTCAGTGGGATTGTTCATGTGCTTAAAGTGTTTTGCTGGATCAGGCTAGAAGATTTAGTACCTGACAGTTCAAGCCCTGAATGCAAGAGGAAAGTTTGAAGGATCTGGCCCTGACTTTGGCTAATCAAAGTTAATTTTTGTATCTGTGACTGATATACTTGTATCATTTCCACATACTACTGTAACTTCTGGAAACACCAATCAAAAATTGTCCTTACTTCCTGAACAATATTAGCTGAAACCAGGGGGGACTAAGAAAGGTGATAGCTTAAAAGATTGCCATGTCTGACAGGAATACTGCTCAGTTACTCAGCCATCCTTTTATCCAAGACTTTTAATGGTGAAAGTGACAACGGTCCACCTTACAATGATATTAAATTCCATAAAATGATGTCTTAGATCATCTGTCTTTGTGCTAGACAAGGGGCCAAACTCTGCTCTCATTTAGACCAGTATAAATGTGAAGTTCTTCCTTTGATTTCAATGCATTTACACCAGTGTAACTCGGAGCAGAATTTGAGTCTGATCATTGATGTTTGGGTCAGACTCCAATGCACATGAACCATAGGTTGTATAAAAAACTCCCACTGTTTCTGTGATTACATCATCCCAATTCACAAGTGAGGTCCTGCCCTAAACTCACTTACCCTTTCCCTACAGACTAATGCACCCAATAAACATGTCTTCTCTCTATTTACAACTTCATAGCAGGCTATCAAACTTCTCCTTGAAATCAGTCCCAGCACTGTGTACTTAAATTGTCCTCCTGTCCCCGTATCACACCCCAACTGTTGCTGGTGTATGTATTTCCTATTGGGGTTGTATATCCAGAAAAAGGAAAAAAGTAATTGTTACAACAGATGACAACTGGAACTGCAAGCAAAGTATTAAATAAAGACATGATTCAGCATCTGCTCAGTGAATTAAATATATCCCAGGAAAAACATTAAAATGCATATGCTGAGGGATTAAACTAGGGAGAAGTGAATTTGTCTGGGCTAATTTCAAAGCCTACTAGTCTGGGCTAATTTCAAACCCTAATAGTACTTAAAACCCTACTATTAATCTGCTCAATTGGTAGGTGGGTTTGCTATCCACTTAGGAGAGACTTTGTAGAAAGGAGGCAGAGACAGAAGGAAATTCAATGGAAAAAAATAGGGTGAAGTAGTTGAGAAGAGAGAGGAGCAAAGGGAAAAGCAAACAGAGAGATTATGAAAAAAAATGAGCAAGCAATGGGGAGAGAGAAACTCTAAAAAGTAATGGAAAAGGGAAGCCTAGTTTGTATAGTGCCATGTACAGGACACCCGCCTGTGTCAGTCAAGCTTTTTGGGGTGGGGGATCTTGCAAACTGGCCCCATATTTTTCCAACTAAAGGAAAGCACAGGCTTCTCTTTAGTTGGAAAAATATGGGGCCAGCTTCTCCTCTCATTTGCATGGATGAGACTCAAGGAGTTATACTGATGTAAGCGAGAGGACAATAAGGTTTTACAAGTCTTTTAATCACAGATCAGGGCAGGGAAGAATTTACATTAGGGGGCAAAAAAGATTTGGGAACGCCAACTAGTTTGGAAAATTAATTTAAAAAAATAGTTTTAATTGGTTTGCAAAACCTCAACCCTCATCCCCAGAGGATTATCTAGTTCTGTCTTAAATTAACTCACATGAGTTATGGGGAGCGTATTATTAACTCTTTGGAAACTGTAGCTGAATGTACACACTGCCCCAATCCAACTCTCATTAAAGTCAAAGGGCGTGGTCGCTGTCTGTTCTTTCACTGGACTGGAAGCTGGATGAGCCCTTAGCGTTTATTATCTGGAATAAAAAGACTCTACGGGTTAGATACATTCAGAAGTATGCTTGGCACCCTCTAGTTGGCAGGAATGTAATCTGCATAGCCCATGTAATCCAGTGAGAGAGAATGGCAAAGTGGTTCAAAGACAGTGAGATCAGCTGTGAGCATTCACTGGAAACTCCAGTGTGAACCCAACATTGAACTGATTTCTGAGGTTGAAAAATGGGGTAGGTAGTTATTTCACAAAATAATAACAATCACAAAAGGCCTGAAATGAAACAAAAAGAGGCTGTTTTGAGAGTTAAACTGGCTCAATTGGAAGTAGGAATTGTTGGACATCTAATGACAGAGAAAGAGGAGAGTCTGTTAGTCTATAAGGTGCCACAGGCCTCTTTGAGAGTCTGAATGTGATTTCTATTCCAGAAAAGTTGGTGTAAACTTTGGCCTCTGAGGTTTTCACAAACAAATCTCCATACTTTTTGAAGTTCACCATCGCTCAACTTCAGAGACCTCATACATGTTGGTGAGTGCAAACATGTTGCTTCTTTGTATTTATGTTTACACATGTCCCCCCAATAGGGTTATCTCCATTACAAAATGAACTAACATGCTTCCCTATCCCCTACTCCCCAACCATCTGCACATTTCATTAATTCTAAAATCTCTTACCTGGACCACAGGATGGCTCCCCGTTGGTGCTTTGACTGCCCCTCGACTCCCCTCTGTTTCATAGTGTGCCCGATGGTGAGGTTTTGGCTGCACTTCAATGCGCAATTCATAAGAGCCAGACTGATTGGAGAGTGGCCACTCAAGAGGTGGGAGGGATGCAACAGGTACGCTGGACAGGAAAAGATCAGGCAGTTTGAAAAACTCTATGAGATGTAAGTGTGATGCTGGCAAACCAGCTAACCAACAAATCCATAACAACTTAACAAGAGGCATTGCAATTGTAATCATGACAATTCACTTGTGTGTGAATATCAAAGAGATGTAAGTAGACCAGCAATCACTAACCCATTCATCTTTAGTAACAGGAATCAAGGGAGATGCTAAATGTATAAGGGAGATGCTAAATATCCTGTAGAAGTTTCCAATGTAACAAATTAGCTTGTAGATGCTAAGTCCCTTTCATGTCTTAATTGCCTTTACATCGGGTAGGAAGTGTGTTCAGTCAACATTAAGATCAAAGATGTGAGACACTGCATGAAACTAATAATATTACGTATATTGTTTTCAGCTTATTTATCCCTGTAATAATGAATGACAGGCAGTTGCCTTATGTAAATCAGGCTACCTGGGTTACCTGTGGATGCATAGCAAATAGAATGTTAATTTCCAAGTGATGGGTCAGTGTGCACTCAACAAAGAAGAATCCGCAGTCACGTGCTGCGCTCATCACACTTGACAGCCTGTTTCAGTTATAAAAGAAAGCTCAGACCCGATCCTGCTATCTCTGGTCTGCTGAACTTTTAACAGGGAAAGTTTAAGCCGTGGCACTGAGATCTCCAAGTAGTTACTTGAAATACCCTGGAAAATGCATGGAAAGGCTCTCACAGACTCTACATCTAAGCTGCCCTTTGGGTTCTAACCTTTTGGGATGATTCCTGAGAGACTTGTGTGCACGCCAGCAGATTCACCATCGCAGGTACAGCTCTGATCTAAGGACTGTGCAATCACTTGTAATGTATATGATCCTTTTCACCATTTAATAACTCTCTTCTTTTTTATTATTAATAAATCTTTAGTTACTTTACTGAGGATTGGCTGACAGCATGATATTTGGGTTAGATCTGAAATATCTATTGACCTGGGGTTAAGTGTCTGATCCTTTGGGAATGGTAGAACCTCATGTATGGTGAATTGGGTTTTCAGTATCCTCTCATCATAAAGACAGTTGTCTGGATGGTGAACTGGGGGCTCAAATGCCTAATGGGGACAGTGTTTTGGCTTCTTGTTAACGGAAGCTCATTTTGTTATTGGTCTGGTAAATCTAATCATAGAATAAACCACCAGTTTTTGGGGTGTGTCTCCCCTGTTTCTTGCAGTCTGCCCTGAGTGTTGCACTTTCAGTTGTGATCCACTTTAGGCACTGGTCACAGTAGGTACTCATAAAAGTACTTGTAAACACTTCCTCTCCCTAGGTCTAAGGTGCTGTGGGTGAACTCCTGGCCCAACTGAAGTCACTGGGAATTTTGCCATTAACTTCAATGCTGTCAGGACATTACCTTGTACCCTTAATTACAAATGCCACCAAAATCTAGGATTAGCAAATCTTTCTGCAAATCACACTCCACGCAGAGACACGGTAGATTCCTAATAAAATTGTTTAATGGAGAGCGTGCACTTATATCTGATCTTTGCCATGCACCTTAGATTTTAATCATTTATTGTGAAATAATAAATCTCCATTTACTTAGTTCTCTAAACCGTGGTTTTTGTTTTTGCTTATATAAGAAGAACAAAGTGATGTATAATATACATGAAAACAAAGATAATAATGCACAAAAACACTAATAAAATGCTAATGTTTCTTACCAGATACTACATTTCCCTGTTATTAAAGTACAGGAAAATCTAATATTATAAAATTACAGTAAGAGAAAATATGTTCAGTGCTGGCAATGGATCTTAACCAACTATTACCTCATTGAGATAAACTTCAGCAAAGACTCCTCTGATCAGACAACCCATAGAATTTAATGTCCTATATATTTTTGCATTAGATTTGTGGTTACTAGAGGACAATGTGTTAAATCACACAGGGTCCAAGTCTGTGGGCTGCTGAGTAGCTTCAGTTCCCACTGGAATCACATCAGTGAGACTTGAGAGCATTCAGTACCACAAAGGATTGAATCCATAATTTCCAAATACATCACCGCATATTGAGGCACCAATCCTAAAGCATGATCTGAGGCAAAGTAACTTCACACAAGGACCAACACTGGTGAATCATACTGCAGGATTGGGGGCCTTATACTTTAAGCTTCTTGGGAGGGAAACAGTATTCGTCTTTGAAGCGTGCCAGTGGCGCTGAATAAATTACATACAGTGCTTCCACTGGTAAAGTCGATCTGTTTATACGACTCTTTACAGCAATGCAGCGTATCTGTAAAGAATTTGATGAGAGTCAAGGAATAAACCTAGCAAGTGAAAATACAAAAATGTGAAAAGTACAACATACCTGCAGATGGGTATTGCAGGCACCAGCTGCTTTGGCCAAGACGGAGGTACTAACAAAATGGATTCAGGTGCTGAGTTTCTCCTGTCTTCCTGATCACAAGGCCCAAGGTAATCAACGGTCTGAAAGAATGCTGGAATGCTGTTTTTGTGGGAAGGCACTGATGGGGGATCAGGGCTGGTTTTCCAAATTTTCATGGGAACACCACAGGGAGGATCCGTGCTAAGGTTGTTCATAGCATCCATGAGACTAGATGAGCTGGGCAACTGGGTGTAAGTGAGCAAAGAGCTGTCTTCTCTCAAAGGGATGTGAGGAGAGGCTTGTGGAGAAGGGGTCCTTGACTGTCGTGGAGAAGTGGAAGGCGGCTGAGTGTTGTAGAGCTCAGTGCAAGAGTACCTCCGTTTTGCACCTGGCGATGAAGACCTTGAGTTGGGACGGGGTGATGGTGAATGTGGTCCCAAGCAGGTATCCTCCGTGATGCTTGTTCGTGGTGACATTATTGGCGAGGTTCTAGGGGAATAATGAGTATGGATGTTTTGAAACTGTGGACAAAGGTCATCACTAGGGCCATTATTTGGTGAAACACATGGTGATGTGTAAGGAGAGAAATTTGTCTCTGAAATGAAACTTGCAGATGAGCCGCTACTAGCTGGGCTCAAACACAGCGGTTCTCTGTAGCCCTCATGGCCAGGGACAGGCAGTGTAAACCTTGGGCTAGCGGTGGCTGAGTTGGACTGATGTTCTACCAAAAGATCTGTGTCTCTGCTGTGCAAGGGAACCCTTGGATTAGTCAGTTCATGGGATGGAGTGATTTCAATCCTAGGGCTCAAAGCAGAGGCCCCAGACTTTACAGGGTCCAAGTTGCATTTTGACCCTATGCTATCTGGCTGTCCATATCTGCCCATGTGATCTGCAGAAAGACTAGGAAAAGCCAGGGGGCTGTATGGCTTGAGGCCATAGTCCAAGACATCATCATGAGGGTATGTAACTCCAGTGGGTGGGCTGTTGGTTTTATGTGAAGGAGTCGATTCTTCTGGAAAAAGAAGGGTCTCTTTAAGCTATAGATATTACTACAGAAGCTGAGCAATCATGGATTAAAAAATGCATATTGATAAAATGGATGTGATCTGATATTAGGTGAATAGTAGGTTGTTGTTTTTTACTATTTTTTACTGCAGTTAGTGCATGTGAAAGATACTGGATTAACAGCTCAGGAAGCTTAAATCCTCAGAACAGGCACAGGATGGACAGTGACACTGCAAACTTCTCCACACTGTCCTGCCAATCTACTGCTACCTGAACCCTGACGTGGGGTCACCTGTGGGGGTGAGACGGTAGTTCAGTTTCCATGCCTGTTTAATCTTTGGCCTCTCTGCTGACACTGCCAACAGGGTACAAATTAATGCCAATTGTGGTGATGTGATTTTTGTATATTTTTATCTGTCAGGAGCTGGACTGAGACTTAACATGTCACAAAACCAGATCCCAAAAGGACTGAATAAAACTAAAAGACAAAAAAGTGTTTTTCCATTTTCTCATATAGCAAAGTCTAGGTCAAATATGCTTCATGAAAACAAAGTTCAACACAAATATATAAATTACTAATTAATTCTGTTTTCACAGTGTGGTTGTAGCCTTCTAGGTCCCAGGACATGAGAGAGACAAGGTGGGTGAGCTAATATCTTATTGGTGGAAGAGACAAGCTTTCGAGCTCCACAGAGCTCTTCTTCAGGCCCGGAAAATGTAACCAGAATGTTTCAGTGTCAACACCTGTACCTTTGAGAACGAGGACTGAGCTATCAATCCATATCTAACCTGACACTAAAAATCATAGTCTCAACAGAGACACTGGCTTTATGGCTCATTACAACAATTTGTAACCTACTAAGCCTCTTTTGTCCTGTGACTGCAGAAGTGTTAATTGCCCACTTCATTTTCAGTGGTTTATTGCAACCATATGCTTAACAATCTGTCCAACCTTGTATTTAGCTGTGACACTCTGGCAGCGGCGGCTCCAGGCACCAGCGCTCCAAGCGTGTGCCTGGGGCGATAAGCCGGGGGGACACCCTGCCGGTCCCTGTGAGGGCAGCAGTCAGGCAGCCTTCGGCAGCATGCCTGCGGGAGGTCCGCCGGTCCCGTGGCTTTGGCAGCAATTCAGTGGTGGGTACGCCAAATCCGTGGGACCGGGGACCTCCCGCAGGCATGCCGCCGAAGGCTGCCTGACCACCGTGCTTGGGGCGGCAAAAAAGCTAGAGCCGCCCCTGCACTCTGGTTACCTTTTCCAGGCCAAAAGAAGAGCTCTGTGGAGCTCAAAAGCTTGTCCCTTCTACCAGTGGAAGGTCCAATAAAAGATATTGCCTCACATAGCTTGTGTCGCTCAATAATTCTGTGTGACAGCTTATTTGGCTTCATATTTCCTCAACAAAGCATGCAATAAGTCTCAAACAAGTGAGCACGAGTAATCAGAAAACATACTGTACAGTTGGTATTTAAAAATTAAATATGTACAAGGAAGCCAACCTATTTCTTATCCGGGCAAATTATTTCTTGATTTCAAGTCAAAGAGCATTTGGTCTTTATAAGGAGTACATGGTTCGGCAGAAGACGTCAAGGCTCAATCCCAGAATCTTTGCTTATGCAAGTAGGGTTGCAGGCCAAAGCCTATAATTATCTAAGAATCTAGATTGAGTGGGATGCTCAGGGGCTGCAAGCAACAGTCCCCGCTCTACTGCCTTTGAAGTCAATAGCAAAACTCCCATTGGTGTCAATGGGCCTGATTCTGATTTCACACAGGGGTTCACCAGTCCACTGCCATCAGCTTCCGTGAAATTACTCCTGAATAGCATCTGTTAGTGAGAGCAGAGTCATGCCCAATGAGAGCAACACCTGACCCCCAGACTTAATGAACACACATATGTTAGCTGCAGTGCTGATATAGTTTCACCAAAGTGACACCTGAAAGATATTTATTCACTGAACAAAATGATAGAAAATATAAAAATAATTTCCACATTTGTCTTTAAGTGATAAGAGGCACGGATAAGAGGAATATTTTTTAAGGATTTGATTAATTTGGCAGTCAGTAGTCAGAATTACACTGTAATTATGGATTAATTGGCTCTCTGAATTCACCCTGGGGCATACAGCTGTACGTATTGCAGGCGAACAGCCCATCATTAAAATATCTAACTAACTGTTCCACCTTATTCTCCTAGTCATTCCCAAACAGCACTCCACGCAAGAGACCAGTATTACATATGGAATGCGGGAGGTGCCAATTGTGCATCTTATAAAAGTAGTGTATGTTTTTCCATGAAATGTTTGCTCACACTCTTACACACACAGTTACATTTTATTTCAAGGGAATTTTTCACATCCTTTAGTATTTCTTTTTTCCCGATACAATGCCAGTTTTGCATTGAAAGCATGCAGGAATTCAAAAGTTGGCTTCCCTGTTTCAAATCTTTACTTATAAAGGCAAATTCATTATTCCTCCGCTTTCCCAGATCACTGTCCAAGTGAAAACAAAATTATAAAATGCTCTGAGTTCCTGGTAAAATGACTCTTTCTAGTTTGCTACAAAACATGACCCCCACTCAAAAAAACCCCAAAATAACCAAAAACCGCTAATTTTGACTAGTTCTGCTTTTTTGTTCTGCGCATTTTGCACAGCCTCTGGGATGCTGCGTTTAAACCGAAATTCTGTGTGGTTTTTTCCCCCTTATCTTTTATGCCTCAAAAATGCCTGCCAAATGTTTATTTGACAGAGCCACAGAAGGCTCTCAGTGTCCCACTTGCAGATTTCTTCAGGCTCCTGTTAGCAGTTGCCTTATTTCATCACAGTAAATGGCTGCTTATAGGGATCACAAATTAGAAGTAACTAAATCTTGAGCCAGATACATTTTGGCATTGTTGATCTCAAATTTCAAATCTTTGGTATCAATGAAAACTGACTGTCATCCAGATCACCCACGTTCTGTGGCACCTAACCCCAGAGACTGATCCTACGCGTCATTTCATACAAGAGGAACTCATCCCACACCACTACTGAACAAGGCAACATGCCCCTTCTCATTCATACAAAATGTCCCTTTCTTTGATTTCAGTGGAATTATTCCTGATTTACATTGGTGTAAGTGAGAGCAAAATCAGCCCTGCAACTAGAGCAGGACCTGATCTCAACACTATAGGAACTTAAACTTCTACATTGTCTCAGTAATCATGGAACGGTTCTCTAGGCTGACCAATTTCACACCAAGGAACAGTAAAATGATTGCATGTTTCAGTTCCCAGATCAACTATTGCCCCTACCATACATAGCAATGTGATATGGGCACATAGACAGATGATGAGATAGCACAATGTGGAAGCGTTACAATTCCTGGCCCCAGATCCTTAGCTACATTTGTTAAGTGGTGCAGTTTTTCAGCAGAGAGAGAGAGAGAGAGAGAGAGAGAGAGTGTGTGTCATGAGGGCAGTAAAGAAATTGTCCTATATATGGAATTTTCAAAGATGCTTCTGCTAACAGACCTCACCCCTTCACATGTTTTTAAACTGAGCTGCAGAGATCTAATAAAGACTACTTTTAATTCACACATGAATAAATGTTGAAGAAATATTAATACAATAAAATTATTGTGGTGAGCATCATTCTAAGATAACTTTGCTTATTATTAAAATACTTCAACAGTCACTTTCACCCTTATCAGCCACTTTTACTACAGGGTCAAGCAGGGGAATTCACATTCCTGCTCTTATTTACAGCAACAAGCAACAACATGAACCTAGATTCATATAGCACTTTTCATCCTCAGACATTCCAAAGATCTTTACAGACTGTATATACTGAGATCGCGCACCCACCGCGAAAACATGGCAGGCAGTCTGTGCCAGCAACACTACACACAATGAAAATTAAAACCATCTGTAATTTAACCTGCATAAGTTATTGATATAGCAGGCAGCATCACTGGAATCTGATCAAGGCACTAAGCAGAACATCTCTGAACGTCACCTTGAAAAAAAAATGCCCGAAGATCTTCACTGACTAAAAAAAAAAATGGTTAAGACTTCAATATTACCTCTCATGCAAAAGAGATCACCTCCAGCAGCACAGTGAACTCCCTAGAACCACCCTGGTTTATTGGCTCAATTCTGCCTCAGAGGGAAGGCTGCCACTCACTGAATCAACATAACTTCCTGCAGTACCTAGGTTTTTCTTGGAGTTCTCCCATCCAAATCCCAACTCTGCTGAGCTTAGGAGATGCAATGAAATCACTGTCTGAGGTGGTATGGCTATAACCCATGTGTTTGTGACATCACAGTCTGTCGCCATAGAAATGATTGTGATGTTACAAATACAGCATTGTGACTTTGCTGCAGGAAGAAAGAGGAGAAGGTTGGTGTGAAGCAGCAATTCCTGCTTTAAATGTAAACCACTCTTTCATTTAGGAGTTTTGCCTTTAACTTCAGTGGAAGCAGGATGGGGCCCTTAATTAGCAGACACATAATTGTCAATAGTCCCTGTCTGGCTAGCACTGTTGCTGGGTTTTGGACTCTGTTCCAGGAAGGAATAAGCCCAGCCAACATCCCAGCTCCCCCGCTTGAGCACCACAGGAGTTTGTTTTTGTAAACAATGTCAGCCTCCTGCCTTTGAGAGGGGAAGTAAGGATGTTTCTCCACATGCAGGGCAGGCCACTTGAGTGCTCTGCCTGGCTGCTTTCCCTTTGCATTCACAGGCACCAGCAAAAGCACTGAGAGTGCCTGGGGGAGGATTCAGCCAGATGGCCCCAGACAGTGGCTGCACTACCCTGGCCCCCTCCCCTCCAGGTGATGACAGAACCATGGCAAATGCATAGCTGGGTCAGCAAGTCCAGGGGGCAGAGGGCAGAAATCCTCCCTGGGACTGACCATCCACTTGTTTACAGCTTCACTATAGGGGCTTGTGCAGTGGAGAGAGGGGTGTAATTAGTTGTGCTGTGGGGACAAAGATGCATCAATGGTGCTGGGTGGACAAGAAAAATAAACTGAAAT